TGTTCAATGTTTAGTCTCGTTATGCTGAATGTTGAAGATTTCAAGACCTCTTACCAGGTTCGGTGTCTGAAATAATAGACTGCAACATTGAACTTTGGTAAATCGTTTAAATGGTGGAGATGGATCTTTAGTGACTCAAAGGTTATATTTTACACTCATTGATTTCCTAAATATTATCTTTGTATCTTTTTTTATTAAGCACTAATTTGTAGTGATTAGAAATTAGAATTTATTAGAATTGATTAGAACCATAAAAATTAAAAATCAGAAAATTAGAATTTAAATTGAAAATAAAAATTGATTAGAATTATTAAAATTAGAATAAATTAAAATTTACAAAAATTGCAACTGCAGGGAAATTATAAAATTTATGAATAAAAATAACAAAAAAATGCAGTTAAGTAAAAAAATTATTTCAACCCTTGCGCAGAATTATTTAAAGCAACGTACGTCACAAGATCGCCGATAAATCAATGAATTCCCTTTAAAAAGGCTGCAGCCACTGAATTCTTCAAAATCTCCCAAAAATCACAACGAAATGGTTACACTAAACACTGTGCTCAGAATAAACTGGGACAATGTTCATACAACAAATTGAAGGATAAGAGAGAAGAGAGATGAACATAGAAAGACTGCAAGGTAGGAGAGGAAGAGACGAGAAGGTTAAAGGTCAGCCGTTCAATTTGTATTAGGTCACAGCCGGGGTCGTACGTGAACCCACGATATTGCAAGGTGTCACCATCGACAACTGTCCTGCCAATATTTCTCTCTCGACATCGTGGCAGCAAGATTCTTTGAGCAATGTCTGAACAATTTCAGCGACTGTCGCATCGGTAGAAAATGTTGGAATAACGTGAAGAAATCTTAAGACATCCGGAATATTTCCAATCTCATGGATTGATCGTTACATCTTTTTCTTTCAATCTGAAGATTCTCAGCAAAATACTTTTTGAAGATGAACATCGATTACTAGAGCGCTAAAAAATTACCAGGGTGCTATGTTGAAAATATCAAAAGTCTGAGAAATATTTTCATTTCCAAAGGGAGATATTTTATTTATAAAATTTGAAATATCTCAAGAAATAATCATTTTTTTGAGATAGTACCTTAATAACTTTTTGAGCAGAATGTTCTAAAGAATAGATTTATGCAGCGAAAAGTATGCAATTCCATTTTTGGAAAAAGTGCAGTTGCACTGCGCAAGTGCATCGATGCACTTTATTAAAATGTTATTATCTCCTAAACTACTTAAGATAGAAACAAACTTTAAAAAACAAAATTGTATTGTTTTTTATGTACAATAATGTCAATGAGATGATTTTAAAGAATATTTGATTTTTTGAATACTTCTAATTGAATTAATAACAGAAATTATTATTATCGTGAATTCCGTCGTTGGCCACGAAAAAATAAGATAGGGGAAAGAAGGAAATCAAAGTAAAACGAAGGTAACACCTCGCTCTACAATTAATTGCTATTCGAAAATGAATTATCGGAAAATTCTCACGCGCTTCGCCAGCTGTGCACAATTGATATTTATTTATTACCCACGCTTTTTTCCATCGACGTCGCTGGGTTCGATAATCGTCATTCAGAATTACACAGTTTGTTGGGCAGCATGAGTAGGAAGTTTCAATTAAAATATTGAAGAGATCAAATAGATTTCTCAGAATTAAAATTCTTTTCAAAATTGCACTTTAATTAAGAAAAAATTGGAAGTAAAAGTTACACCTTTTAATCTTTGATTAGTGTTATATTATAAAGTGATAATGTTTATCTATTTTATTTGTAGACAGTGGATAATATGTTAACATATCCAATTTTTGTTCAATTTTCTATGGAAATAAATGCATTGCTACACGATTGCACTTTTGTTCGAATTCCCCTATAAATCTTTAATTCGCCAACTGACACACATCTTGTGCTTCGAATAGAAGCACCAAGAGTATCAGCCATGGTGGATGGGGAATATTATACTGGATTTACGGCTTTGCTCGCAGTGATTCGTCCGCTCGATGTCTCTTAGATTTAGCTTCCAGTGACGGATTACGCGGAAATCCAATTCAGTCTGCACATTAGAGCTGTCTGTCGAGCTGTGTAATTCACTATGACGATTACCAGGCCCAGAATCTAGTTCGACCGCGTTGACGAAAAGAAGGTTTGTTAATAAGAACATCATCGACCAGACTGGGTGTATCGAGATCAATGAAAATATTTCTAACTCTTAAATCTTGAAAAACCTGCTGAGAACAGTGAATAGGTAGGACGTGAGTCATATCTCTAATTAATAACAATGATAACACTGATATTCATAATCATTGAAACTACGACTATTAAAATAAAAAAAAATGGACTAATTACATTATAACTGTACATAGTAGTGTAATTAAAACATTTCTCAATTAATTTGGACAGAACAGTAATTAAAACAATGATGTGGTAAAATAAAACGTTGTCATGCGAAGAGTCGAGGTACTGTTAGAAAAAAGAGATTGAGGTAGACAAGAACAGGAAGTTATATGCAGGCGTACACGGTGCAGTAACAAAGCATTGCGTAACCTAAAGTGCATTCCCCAGTTGCATGTCTTTTTCAATTCCGAAAAATTTTGCTCAAAGTTGCGTATTCGCAATACTTCAGAAATTTTTAATTATTTATATTAAAAATTTCTGTGCTTAATTTTAGGCGGACCACCGTTGTAGACGTTTCGTAGGTCAGGTCACGATTGACCCGGCTCCACCGTGCCGCACTTAATATTCAGTGCCTAGTTTCGTGTTACACGAAGAAAATTTCTAATAAATCAAGTTATTCCCCTGAAAAGTGTCACTCGAACGTTTTCATTGATCGAATTCGGGACGTCTTATCGTGTCTGGCTTGTCAGCTGATAACGAATTTCCGTGAGTTTTAGACTGCATCCAGATGATTCATAGTCAAAGTTACTGTGTTTTCGATAAAATTTAAAAGTACCACTAAAAGGTATTCTCTTTAATTTTTAAATTCTAATTTTTAATTATAATACAAGATTCGAAGATCTATAGATCAAATACAACTATTCCATAAGAATAAATTCACAAAAAATAAAAAAAATAAAATAAAGTTCCACTTTTTAATTAGAAAAATTCTACATTTGTTATCTAAGATTTTTATATAAATTTTGCTATCGTATTTTTCAATTACTAAATTTAAAGATCCATAGATCCTGCAGATCCTAACTGTCGGTAAAACAGAAATTGGCATCGCAGATGGCAGCACAAATCGCTTAATCGTACTCATCCTAGGTTTAATTTAATTAGCAACGAGAAAGAAAATTTAGCGACAAATTATCGATTTTTCTGAGAAAAGCTCGGATAAATTTTAGACATAGAATACTTAGAAATATCCGGAGACACAGAGTCGGATTAACCCGAGTGAATCCCAGGAAATTATCAGAGGGATCAATTTTCCTTCGTCTTATTAGCAGAACTTTAATCAAGTAAGTGAGACGCTGTTTATAATCTTAGGAACTGCAAATCCATTTAAAGTTTGCTAACGAACAACTCCTATGCTGGTAGCTCAACGAATTTCGTTCCTTAATGATACGATGAGTTTGAAATACAAATACCGAGTTTCTTGAATATACAAAATGTGCCTATAAACATATCATTACCACCAGTATAATTTATATTTTAAAAAGGTGAATGAATTAATATCATCAAGAAAAATTAAGCTAAGATAAGAAAATCATTATTGCAGTACAATTTCACGTTTCTGCAGTGGGATACATCTAACCAGCTTAATTTTACACATTGCATATTTCATCGTGCTTCATTTCCCAAAGGGTCGTTTATCCGAACAATTCGTTTCTCTCGTTTCCCCTAATCTTTCGAATAATTCGGGTAGAACGGTTCCGATGGAATCGAGAAGTGCAACGATGCAGACTCGAAAACTCGACGTCGAGCATAACACGAGAGAGGAACGCTATTGATTAACTGTCTAGCACGTTGCGTCTCGAGCCTGGACAGCATTGTCTTTCATTATGCGATATCGCCACTATGGAATAGTTTGCGAGCAGCGTGGCGGTAACAGAGTTTCAAGGGACCATACCTTCTATACCTATTTCTCGTCTGTGTATCCACGAATGTGGGGCAAAACGGGTACGAAAAAGAAAAATACCTGTCGTTTCTCCGTGTCAATTCTCTGCTTTATACGCGTCGTTTCCATAATGGACGCCTATTTCCTCGATTTTCACCAACCGACGGAGAAGAATGGAAAAGAACGCGGAAGCTACGTGACGACACAGAGCTGATAGACGATTCCTTTTATTTGCTCGAATAAAAGATTTGTTGTAGGTGATAAGATAACTTAAAGGAAGTCCCGTATGGGAGCTATTGTATTTTCATGCAAAGAAAAATTGATTTATGAATTTTTTATTTAAGGTTACTGCTGTGGTGCATCTTTCATTCTAGCAATTTAATTTCTTCACGAAATGAAAGTAAATAGAATAAATTTTTCATAACTAAAAATATTTTTTAAAAATACGATAAAAAAAAGAATGAAAATTTTACTGTTCTAAAAAATTATCAGTGTCTATTTGTATTATTTTAATTCACGAATTTTTTGCCACTGCAAATTATTAGATAATAAAATTTGTACAGTACTGAGCATGGTAGGCTTTTCAAGAGAAAATGACGATGTCCTCCCCTCTTCCGTAGGATACCCCATCGCCGAGCTCCCGATTCACTCTGTAGGTGGCCCGGGAGAGAATGACGATGTAGGGGAGACGGTCCCATATATATAGCCCAGTGGCCTCCCACCACATGTTTATGTAATTATCTATATTCCTTAATTTTATACTAAATTTTATAATATTTAATAATTAAAAATAGTATTATTTTGTTCCTAAATCACTTTTAATATTAATATCGTCAAAATTAAAATTTTGAGAATTTTTGCTTCCCCTGTGACGTCATTTTCTCTAAAGATACCTACTTTGCTCGATACTTAAAATATTGATTCTACTTACGACGATCATCTCGGAGGGCTCGAGGACGAAGCATTCGTTGGGTCTTCTGGCGCTGCCACCCGTCCGCTTCCCGAAGCTGCAACAGAAAACGGAAGTGATATTATTAACACCTGTTCTAACGTGATTTCACACTCATTCTCTATGAGAAAAATAAGATTACTTCACATAACATTCAAATACTTCATATTTGTGTAAATTACACGTTTTATTTGTATTGTTTATATTATTAATAACGAAATTTTTGAAACTTTTTCTGATCCTTATGTCTAGCGATACACGACACACCAGGTGCGTCTTATACTGTCTACTGTATGCAAGTGATGGCACACCAGGTGTGTCATATACTATCTAATGCAATCAATGTGATGCATCTGGTGCAACCTCCACTATCCAATGCAACAAATAACGCAATCTGTGCGTCTATAATGTTTAATGCAATAGATGGTGCACCTTGTGCCTCCCATATCGCACAATGCAACCAACGATGCACCTTTTGCATTCTGTGTTGTCCAATGCAATTTAGATAACACATATGCATCCTAGCGAAAAAATTGGTATGAATCAATATTAAATCAATAAATTTAAAAGCTATGTTGGAGAAAATTTTAACAAAATAGAAATGCATAAATATCTTTTTTCTGTTTTAACAAAAAGAGAAAGTAAAGGATTATTAAACATTTGATATAAATTTATAATTACAATGTAGAATTAAGTACTTTGATATAATAAATAAAAATTTCTCCAAAATCATACCTAGAACTTAAAAAAAAAAGAAGAATCAGTAAATACCGTAATTGTTTATTGAACGTTGACAAAGATCATTATACTTGATCATAAATTCAAACAATAGATATAAACTAATTCAAACTAATCCCCTAACAAAATATTGACCTAAATAACAAGATTTACCTGAACGTTCGGTATAATCCAAGAAAGCTACCGTTTCCAAACAACCCTTTATAATTTCAACATCCCCATAACACAGCCATCTCTTGGTAGCCAATTTTCCCCTGTTAATAATCCAGGTATATACGCGTATCGACATGCCACGGTTAAAACCACTTTCGATTTTAATCGTACACGAGTTACGTTAAAGGGTTGAAAACGGTAAAGCGGAGCATCGATTAAACCGTAAATTTCTTCCAAACAATAACGGTCGATGTGAGTGGCACAACGAACACGGAAGTGATCGTCCAAGTGCAATTTATCACTGAAAACATACCCCCTCGAACGTAATATCACGACCAAGGGGTGCGTTCACGCGTTCGTGTAAATATATCTATTGTTGCGGTATCCGGCCTTTAAATGTTTACGATCGCGTTCGACGTACGAGCCATCGACAGATGTTTCTCTCCCTTTTGCTTCCGCCACTCCTCGAATTAGCCGGCAATTTCTGGCTACCCGTGACGGCACTAGAAAAATCTCCCGCGGCTACCAGGGAATCGAGGGTCGTACATGTTCCTTAACATAACTGCCGCTATAATTTTTCTTTTGTTCATGAAATTCATCATACAGGACGATTCAGATAATTCGGACTAGGCTACAGCTCTATTTAAAACGAATTTATTATGATTTTCTTAGAAGTGCATAAGAATGCAGATGCACTTTTCTTTTTAACAGATTTATGTATTTCTGTTTATTTAGATCAATTCTTTGGAACATTTTGAGTAAAAAATTGTAAGGGAGTAATGTTGAAAATATTAAACGTTTGAGAGATATTTTAATTTCAAGAGAGAGATATTTTATTTATAAAATTTGAAATATCTTAGGAATTGTTCATTTTTTGACATAGCACCCTAATACTTTTTTATGAAGAATTGCCTAAAGAATAGATCTGTGCAGAGAAAAGTATGAAGTTTCATTTTTAGAAAAAGTGCATCTGCATTATGCAAGTGCATCGATGCACTTTACTAAAATGTTATTATCTCGTAAACTACTTAGGATAGAAACAAACTTTAAATTGCAAAATTGTATTGTTTTGTATGTACAATAATATCATTCAAGATGATTTTTCAAAAAATGTAGAAATTTTAGAAAAACATAAGGGTAGCTCATTTTTTATTATAATGTTGAACCCAATGCACTCTACCATCGATTACTGAATAAACCATCCACTAAATGGTCAGAAGTGGGTCCAATATTTATCGATCTTTTACCTGCCTATGGGATGCTTACCATCTGATACATGGGACCCTTGTGATGGTTAATAGACGAGTTTGGGGTTCGAAACGATCGAGGGTGCTAGCCACCATTTTCGCAGACGTTAATCCATTTGCTTTAATAAATTATGATTTCCTAGAGGTGCACGGCTCCCGTTGAATCTTGCCTCCAATTACGGTAATTAATGCACGACGAACACGCAACGTTGGAAAAGATCGCTCCGGAAGAAACCTCTCGTTATTGGATCATCTTCGCGTTGCCTTGCGTTTAATTTCGATGAAAATGGAACGAAATGGCGACAGCGGGGAATTATCGAGAGTAGAAAAATTCGTATAAAACTACGTCATTTTTGCATTGAAAAATGACCAGACAATTAATGGAAACTTTTATTAAACCAATTTAAAATTGCTATGTGGCCATTATATGGTACCTCGTCAAAATGTCATTAAACCCAGTGAATTTTTTAACGACACCCAATATTCGCCACTCCCACCCATCTATCATCCTCGTCTCCCTAAATATTCCTGAATAATTTCTGGAGTCGTGGTAATTTCTCCGAGAAAATGTCCCTCCATCTGCGAAATGTACCGTTAAAACGTTTCAGTGTTGAACGTTCGCATGCCAGAACGCTTTTCCGCGGTTACCTCGTGATATTATGTACACCATTTAACCGGACTTGTTTTCAAACCTAATGAAATATTTCAACCAGCACCAGTTACCATTATTACCTTCCTTTTTCCCTTCGCCTTCGTGCATTAGCCTTCTAACTGTTCCTATACCATGAAAACGACCAAAACGACGAAACTTGTTCCGTCTTCCCATGACCTCGTGGGACAAAGTTGCTTGCGTCATTTCAACCAGGATGCACTTTCACGTCATTTCAAGGGAAATTTTTTATTTCATCAAAGTATATTCAAAAAACAATTTCTTAATCATTCTATAAAGATTTTTAGATAAAATAAAAATGAAAAGTTTCTAAGCCTCGGATAGAAAATAACTTTTTAAATACAGTAGACTCTCGTTATATTACCGCGAAGGGGCTGTAAAAGTGGACAATTTTCAAGCTTCCAAGCTCTCGAGATAGAAATGTACCATCTTCGTAAGCTATGATGATGAAAGAGCGGCATTATGTAGTTTGAAAATCTCTGTTTAGGATAAATCCCTCACGTGGCAATATAACGAGAGTCCACTACTATATTGCAAATAAATATTGTAAAATTATATCTTACAAATTAAAAACAGTATTCAATCAATAAAGTGCTTAAAAATTGCCAGAGCTTAATTTTGATTCATTTTTAAAACCCTTTCATTGCATCTATATTTATTTTATCATAATATCAAAATACCCTGTGCAGTCGTATAATTTATTCCTATTCAGTAAATTTCAATCAATTCCAGCATCCATGCTTGCAGAAATGAAAATTAAAACCAATGGAAAAAAGGGTATCAAGGAGATACGTACACGCAGCAGCTGTCCAGCTTTTATGGAGATTAATTGAAATATATTTAGATTGTAACGCACGTCCGTCCGGGAACGTGTTACGCTGATTTATAAGTCGGATAAATTTTCGTTAGGATGTTGTATCGATAAAAGATGCGACGTCACTATGCAACAATTTCGTATTGCGTACAAGGGATGAATAGAATGATTTATGTTCACACGTCGCTGACATGACGTGTGTTGTGTCAAAACTGCGGTTACAGTATTCTGACAAATCATATAGGACAATGTGGTAGCAGGTGTTCCTTTTTGAAAATTAGAGATGAATAAAAGATTGCTGAATAGAAAATTATATAATCATAGACAATATATTTTAAATAAATTCAAAGTAATTATTTTTTACTGGGCAGCAGAAAATGATGAAACAATTCATACAGGATCTGTGTTAATTTAAAGTCAAATATTTTAGAATTACATGGCTATTCATTTGAACAATCAATTACCAGGAGTAATTAATTACTGTTGGATAAAATTAAGTAAAATTTATTGAAGCAATATTAAATTCAAAATATGAATTCTTGAAAGCTCCGTATTTTTGTATACTCAAAAAAATCTCTTCTGGCAGAAAATATTGTTTATAATTGCCATAAAAACCCTCTTGAAAAATTTAAACAAATTTTTATCATAGAAGTAGAAATCAGGACATCATGGCAATTGCCACCACTAGATCTATTAAGATACAGCAGAGCTCTATATATGACGGTGGCAATTACCACCAGCAGGGCCGAAAGGGTTAATCTTCTGTAGGTTACAGAATTAAATAAAAATTAAAAAATTGCCCATAGAAATTCACCCATTATGGGTGACACAAAATACACTTATCCGACATACAAACTGCTATTAAAATCTGAGGGTATATATTCATACCTCTCGTTGAAAAAGGGGGTTGAAATACATCGATAAAATAAAAATGAAATTTCATCGAAGGATTAGACTCACCAGACGGAGAATCGTCTTCTAGGGAAGGCAGGGGGTGGCGGTGGTTGTACACGATGACTTCTATCGACTGATTCGCTTCTCAGGGCCTGGACAGCCTTAGGCACGGCCCTGAACGGCTCCTGGGAAGCTTTGCCGATCATACCAGAGGGCAGATTGCCATTTCCGACGGTGTCGTTGAAATTACTCGCGCCTCCGCCGACGCTTCCACCACCGTGGAAACTGTTCCATCTTCTGACAGGACCTCTATTAGCAACATGGTGTCCGCTTCCGGTGCCGCTGGGGCCACGTAGTTGGCTCGTATGCTTGTGCATCCTGTCTCTCTCTCTCTCTTTTAGCCCTCGGTGATCCTCCAGGACTCGGACGACTCCTCTTTCGACTCCATTCTCCTTTTATTTTATCATACGTCACCGATGCTCGAGACTACATCCTCTTCAGGACTTCCCGTTGCCAGCGACTACCCCTTCCACCTTCTCCCT